ACAAAATTAGATCACTTTAGACTTGATTCTCGTTACTTAGAAGCTTAGTGTAATGCATATGACTTTCTGGTCTTATTATTGCTTAAGAGCATATATATTCTTATTTCACTGATGAGTCATTATATGCTGGCTCAAAATTTTATAAATATAAACTAATTTATCAACAAAATCTTGTTTTAATTCAGCAAATTAATTTTATAATTAGGGATGGATTTCTAGATGATCGGATTCGGCTCGGCATAATATTTTTTGTATGAAAATATACTCGATGCTCATGCCATTTTTATTTATAACTATGGTTTTTTGCTTCTTCAGCTGAGAGAGGGGGCGACTCTGCGATGCCTAGCTACGAAAGTCTGGACCGATTCGCTCCGACATCCTCGGCTGCACCTTCTCCCGCTGGCCTCGGCCGCTTACCTGTCCTAGGCCAGCTTGAGAGTTCTTCAGGCTGTCATTCGAGTCCGGCCTTACATCCGCGTCTCTCGGTTGCGTCTGCTTCACAACACCAGCAACAGATGCAGCCACAGCTCTGCGGTGGCGCCTCAACCAGCGGTGGGGCTTGCCTACCTACTGGACCTAATTTATCCAGATCCATACCTACTACTACCACCATTACTACAGCTAATTCTACTGTCTACAGAGGATCATCTCTCTCCTACACCTCCATAGTACTTGTATCACCTCCCGATGGAGGGGCCATTAGTGACAGCAATAGTCGCTCTCCCAGCAACATAACAGCTTCTTCCAATCCTCATCGAGAAGCCCATTTACCGCGGGGGCACTCTTCTGCCCAATTCTCTGGTGCCTCTGCTTCTGCCTCCTTTACTTCAGCATCTTCACCTGGCTCCACGGCCCGCGGATGTGGTAATAGTAGCGGATCTGGGGGCTCTTCTAGGATTGGATCCTGCGGTATTTCTGGGCCTTCGGAACTATCCACAATCTATTCTGGCCACGCATTATCTACACACGCCTATCCAACGATTCCAGCTACTGGAAACAATGCTCCTTGCATTTCGATGCCATCTGCCTTATTTTCTCCTGCTAATTTTAATGCTCTTGGAAAATCAGCTCCTCTCCCACTTCCTCGGGGACCTCTGCCTCAGCAAACCAATCATTCCCTTCCTCTCTCTCGGCCACATTCTCACTTGCATGCACACTCTTACCCACATCCTCATCATTCTAAACACAATTACCCAAACACGGAGGAGGACATTTTGAGTTCTAGCCACACTGGAGCCCCGGCCGCGCCGCTTCCTGCTCGCAAGCAACTTCAACAGGAGGCTCAGCTTCCACCACAGTACTTTCAAACTTCACAGCAGCCACAACAACCTTATCCTCACACTCTCAACCAACAAACTAAGTTACAGAAACAACATCCGCATCATCAGCACCCATTCCCTCCTATGCTGGGGCCCGGTGACCACACTCAATGTTTTCACCAATCGCGTGGAGTTACAACTGCTGCTGCTGGTTGTTCCGCTTTTTTGGCAGGAGCAAGTGGGAATGGAAATAACATCACTGGGATGCCTACAGCAGCAGGATTGAAGCCACTGCAGCAAACTCTTCAGGCATCACTAAATCCTGTTTTCCCTCACTCAACGGCCCTCAATCAAACTGGTACTTCCGGTCTGCAGTTAGATTCCACTAACCGAGTGAGTTTTCACCATATTTTGAATTTATGCTTTTTTTGGCTTTTAAGGTAAATTTTTGCTGACTCATCGATGTGACAACCAATATGCCCCCTTAATAGGCATAATTTTCTATTATCATTTAATTGCTAACTTGAGACCCTGACCCAAATTCCTTAGTCATTCTAAACAATTAAATTTACCAGCTATTACAATATAAGGTTAAGTAAGTATGGTATATCGATCTGCTCTCTCCGTAATGTTAACTATTAGTAAGCGAATTTACAGCTCCATCTTGCGAAAATAAATATTCAAACTTTGTTAATCTCCTAATTAATGAAGCTTGATTTTCCATCATGTTGCAGGCCTTATGGTATATTCCCAGATGTTTCGCCGTTATCGTAGTCGGCATCGCCAGTTAGTCTTGTCATTCTTAGCACCATGCTACAACTCGTCAGGGAGACGTCAAATATCGACTTCACTTGTGTCCTTGACGACTTGTATTGGGGTGCTAGGCATGGCAAGGCTCGCTGGCGATGTCGGCGTAACGTCTGGGAATGCACCAAGTCTGTGATCTGACTTTGGAAATTATCATGCATGCTAATGACTCCGGACAAGATGCGCTCCTCCAGGTCTCTTGATACCTTACGGAAACAAGGCTAAACAACCTCTACTCACCGAACAGAGACCGCGACCATACTAAAGGCCATCACATCTTGATCTTCATCCATTCTGATGTTGCTTATAAATAGAGCTAGATAAAGCGTTGTTATTTTGTCAGTAGACAAATTTTTTAATCTAATGGCCGATCTTTTAGTTTTTGATAGCTAGGCAAAAATTCTTATCATGCGACCCTACTTTTTAGCATTTTACTTAGGCTCACTTCAGTCCTAGACCATTATGAATCAGCTAAAAATGGTGTATTCTCCGATCTCCTTATTTCTTAAGCGCATGCGTCACCGGTGATTGTGTATGAGTAAGATTTACCCCTTGTTTCAGACAATTTTTTGTGCGAGCGCAGGCTCTCTTAACCGAAGACAAGAGACCAAATGAGAAATGCATAGTGACTTGCTTCCATTCCTTGTTCGTCTGGTCACTTGCTTGGCCGAGTTACATCAACTCTCACAGTCGTTTACATCCCTTTGATCGCATATGTACTCCTTCACATGGCCTTCAGATAATGGATCTGCCGTCACGATTAAACCTGAAGCTTGAGCGGCAATCATACAACAACATGTAGGGACTATTTTAGTAATGAACTCTGGATAGCTATTGAGATTAATGTGTTTTAGCCTATACAACTTTATGGCCGGTTGGCATATAACCATTTTCATCCTTAGCTCTCTTCCTTATTGCTTTGTCCCATGATGTACTCAGTATCTTGGTATATACATTCATTGTACTTTAAGCATTGTGTGCATCATTTAGTAAGTCTATCGACTGCAACTCAAGCCTTGGTTGTGTGCATACGTCATTCGACTGGCTCCTGCTTTTGACATGGGCACAGTCTCGTATTTATTCTCTCACTTTGAGTTTCAGGCCACCAGTGACAGCTGGAGAGTTACATTACACTTGTTCCATCTACTCGTGCTTTTGCGCATAAATCTTCCATGAATTGATTCTTTCTACTGTGATGAGCCTTTACATGAAGGCCAAGATATTGTCCTCGTTTTCCAATTTTCTTTTTATATTTTCATCAAGGTGCTGATTCGACTTTATTTCCTCAGCCATTTAAATGGACATTCTTAGACATTTCACCCTTATTATGATCAGAATTTTGATGGAAAAAGCCATGTGAGGTATCACAGTGTCATTCACTTAGGTGCTTGAGCACAGTACATTTCTATTTTAATATTTCTTTTTTGAGCTTTAGTCGGGTACTCATCTTAACTTTGTAATCTAATAGCTATGTCACTTGAGACTCTTCATTATCGTCCATCTAATTACTTTTGGAGGATATTTCTCCTAATATAAGCCCCCAACCTACCTAATTGGAAAGATATAGTCATATTTTCCTCTATAAAGTTAATCAGGTCCTTTAGAGCAACTAGTAATGCATTCCCTACCATAATCGTTGTGATAATTTCCATTATGAGATCGTTGACTTAATGGATTAGCAGAATTTTCGCCGACCTCGTATCCTTAGTAGTAAGCAAAAGTCACAACTCATAAAAGTGACAAGGGAGGATATTCCTCTTGGCCAATTTTCTGTCAAACTGCTGTGACGGCTCTCATCTTATCCTGTCCTAGCTCCTAGCGCTGCATTCTCACGCCTTATTCCAATGCATATGACCAATTTACTTATTCAATCCTCTTTATGTCCTTGTTCGTTACAATGTCTTATAAGAATATGCCACTTTAAGTGGAGTTATTATGATTAATATAGAAGCGGATGCAAGACTGAGTACTTTTATGAGGTTTCCTTGTTACTCTGACTGAGTTTCAAAGGTAAGGTTAAACCAACTTTATACATATATTGACTAGGTAACACGCAAAACATTACTAATGTACGAAAACAAGGTCAAACTACTTATATACGACGAAAGGAGACCGGAACAAAGCAACAACCTCTTGGTCTTCATAGCTACGATTAAACTACAGTTATAAGTCGAAGAAATGAAGATCAAGATGGTGTTGCCCTATGTATGGTCACAATCAGACCGTGAATTTGGTGCATTCTCAGACGTTTCGTCGGAATCGTAGTCAGCATCATCAGTGAATCTTGCCATTCTCTACACCAAGTTACAAACTCATCATAGAGACAAATTAAGTCAATTCCTCGACCCACGTACTGCCGAAACAGTTACACTATCACTCTTCTTTCTGCCCTGGCCCATCTATCTACTCCTTACCCTCTATCCAACTCCCGCCCTATCACAACTTCTGACTTATGTGGAAGATTAAGTAAGCTATCGACATACTTGGGGAAAAAATCTTTTTTTACAAAAGATTGGAGGAAGGCAGAATTAGCGATAACTTTGCCTACCGCTTAGACAAACTCGGAGAAAACAAGAATACAGCAAGACCAGCAAAAAGGAGACGCCTGGACCAAGGATCTATCGCGTCGACGCAATGGAGACTTCATGTCTACTCATATCATTGTGGAAAAATTCTAGTACCAGCCTACTACGAAATAAGATGAACTTATCTCATATTTATATTAATAGTTTGCTTAGGGTTCATGAGTTGAAGAATAGAGATTGGCAGTGCAATAAATTCTTGATATATGCACGCATGAGAATCAGAGCCTTGGCGCTCTGCTCGGTGAGGCCGTAGTGCAAGAACTACCAAAGGCTTATAACAAACCATGGGAAATAGCCTCTGGAGTAAACATTTACCTTGTCTGGAATCGAGTAAAATCAGTCAACCGGGGCCTTTAGGGAGATTCGGATATAAAGTCCGAGTTGGATATGTGAGGCTAGGGAGTAGGTGGATTTACCAGGAAAAGAGGAGTGATGACCAATTGAAAGAAAATTGGTCAATGGATTGACTTCGCTTGTCTCTTTGGTGTTAAGAATGACTAGATTTACTGAAGATGTCCATTACGATCTTGTAGAACCGTCTAGGAATGTACCAAGTCCACGGTTTGGCTATGAGAATTATCATATCTATTATAGTAGAGGGCTTTGGATAGGGTGCCTCCATCCAGGCCGTCTTTGATCATACGAATGGTTAAATGATTAGCATCCAGATTTTTCACTCCATCCTTAGAAAAAGTTAGTGTTAGGACTATCTGTAATTAATGAATGCTGATGTTTATTTAATATTTCTTACTACGTCGGAAATAATGCAGCATCTGCGAGCCATCTGCATCCTGACTGATATTCGCTTAATCACGATGAACTGAATTTCTCCAACGCGAGAGGAATTTCCGTATACGACTTACAGCTTTTTTATGAGCTTTATTTCTTTTGTGAATTAATGCTTGTCTTAGCTTGTAATTACCACTAAATATTTTTCTTGTGGTTTATTTTTTATTTTTCCGATTTAGTTACTATATCACAACTTAATATGGCATAATATTTTCCTCAAGTTTAGATGGATTCCCTAATAATCTCTCTATTTGTGTACTTCATAGAAAATTTTAGATCAATTGACTACTGATTTTATAGCCTATCAATTATTATCCGCGTTTTTGTTTGCGTATTTCAACTTAATATTCACCATGTCTACATTTAGATCTGTCTATCCCTATTTTTGAAGGTCACAAAACTCTTGGTACATTGATAAAATTCCGATGATAATATTTGATTTCCACGTTTCAAATTCATTTTATGTAGCGTACTTTGTTGTAAATACCCAATTACTATGGCTATTATATATTGTTTTCTAGCTTATGTGTAAGATTAATTTGCTTTGAAATACATAATTTCGGAGCTTCGGTTGTTCTAAAAGTTGCCATTTATGCCGCATCTTTTCTCTTATCCTGCTTAGTTCCTTTCAAAAGTAGTTCCAATGCTTATAGTTTATTTAGGTTTTTTATTCATTATTTTAGTTCGTTAGCATTTGTAAGCTCATTTTTATATACATTTTATTATGGTAGCCTAATCAAAGAAGCCCTTGAATATAATAATTTATCAATATATATTATCTTGGATACGAAGGGTTAGATTAATTTCCAGACAGATTATTCTGATGAGTTTAATCTATAATCTGGTATC